TGCAGATTCACCCAAAGGTAAATCCTTACCTTTGGCTGACGAATATTAGCATTCAGCAAGACAATCCTCTTCTTGGCCCTGTTCTCAGATGCTTTCTAAGTTTTTCTCCAGACGGAGGTGGCATTTGATCCTGGCCTTTCTGAACAGCACAGTTTTTTCACATGCCAGTCCTGTCTAGATCATGAAAACACATAGCTCTGACTTCATTAAAAGCAAAGGATAGGGATACTGTGGGCTTCTGTCTGGAATTTTGTCTCTCACTGACGTTTACTACCTTTTAAAAGCTTGCTGGAGAACAGCAGTGATTCTGAAGGATCTATAGAAGAGGAAGATGTACTGTTCCTCTAGAACAATGATTAGGGGTAGGGGAGGGACCTGTCTGCCATGCACACCACTGCTGTATGGACCAGTGTGACTGCTAGGAAAGGAGTTGGCTCCTTGAATCTGTTATAGGAGGGACAAATATCAGGAACCACTGTTCTAGGTCCTCTAACAGGGCTTCCAGATTTTCAAATAGATTTTGATTACTCAATAGAAACATTTTTGTAGGAAATGCAAACATTATGGCAAAGTGCTCTGAATAGTGCCTGGCACGTGCTGAGCACTTGGTGCTTGCTGTGTATTTACAGCCCTGTGCCTGGGCCATATTATATTAATCTCCATAAAATTGCTTTCACCTTTGGCCCATATTACCCACTAGCCTCTGAACTACTCTGAGAGCATCATACAAAAGCAATGAGTTCTCTTGGGCTCTGTTTACTGTAAGGGTGCTATCATGGATATTGCTGATCCTGTTACACAAAATCTCTCTGTGAAAACAAGACGTTTCTCCCTTGCTTGAAATAGTTATGCTTCTCCTAGGCAGTTGATTTGATTTTATCATACTGATCTGTGCATCTATTAACTGGTTGTGCTTCTCTTTTTTTATTGGCTTCTAGCGTGAATCTAGATTTTTACCCCCTTCTAGCATGTGTTATAGAATGTGGGTCACACCTTTTATTAACTGGAGTTATGATTTCAACTTTCTTTTTTTCCCCCCATTTATTTATTTTATTGTATTTTAGGTTTAGGGGTACATGTGAAGAACATGCAAAATTTTTGCATAGGTACACACGTGGCAGTGTGATTTGCTACCTTCCTCCACATCACCTACATCAGGCATTTCTCCCCTTGCTATCTCTCCCCAGCTCCCCACTCCCGCTACGTCCCTCCCCTATTTCCCCCCAACTGACCCCAGTGTGTATTGCTCCCCTCCCTTTCAACTTTCTTACTCTCTTTTGTCAACTAGTAAAAACAGTTGCCTCTCTGGGTGATTGCATGGGTAGACCTTTTATTATAATGAAGAATATACTGTACACCATTTGAATAAAGCATAGTTGGTACAGTGGCTTGCTGGAGTCTGTGAAAGGGGTCTTTAGTCTTCTCTCCATTTCCTGCCAGAGAATGGGCAGCTGCCAGTGCTAGGTGGCTCCATGTCCATGTGGACTTTGGCACCGGGGTTCTGCGTGCAGAGCCTCTCTTGGACACCTGGGTCCTTTTTCTCTGTCCACTGGAAATCACCATCATGTGAGTTATTTGACATAAGAATTTGATCTGCTGTTAAGAATTATTTTCCTATCTTTTCTTCTCAGGTTCTGAGAAAATATAGATTACATCCTTGGATTCTAGTCAGAGAGTTTGATTATGTGAGAACTGGAATATTAATTTAACAACAATAAACTACCATTAACAAAGACGTCATTTGTGATTGTTAAGGCTCTTTGTCTGCGGCACGAAAGCGCTCCCATAACAATGAACAAGACATAGGCTCCAGAGGGGCTGGAGCAGAAGACAGTAGTGTGGCAGCAGGTGCTGCCTGGCACAGCTGGCCTAGGGAGTGGCCCCTGGGCCTGTCCTCTGGCTGCACCTTCAACAAACAATCAGTGTATTTTTCACTAGTGAGACTCTAGGCTTGAGTGCAGTATGCTTCGTTCACATTTCTGTTCTAGAACTGGGCATGGCTCCGTTGCTCCCCTCACCTATGCAGTGCACTGGGAAGGGGTGGGATCAGGGGAGGAAGGAGGTGCCCTTTCTCATGGAGGGTGGTGGGAGAGCCCATACTAAAAGTTGAAATGTGGAGAAATGGCCTAGGACAAGGTGGCCCAACTCTGGGTCTCTCACATCTGCCTCTGCACAGTTGAGGCTTTCCTCTAGGGTGGTGGACACCTGCCTCATGAATATTGAAGCACTGATTTCACTGGACCAGCTCAGGTTATGTGATACTCATTTCCACGTTTAGCAATCAGATCTACTTTTTCAGACTGCCAAGCCTCTGGGTGACCTATTGCAGACCAGCCTGGTTTCAGTCTTCCATTCACCATGGAGGAAGGAGGTGTTGGGGCCAGCTTAGTGACATTAGCAGCTCCTTCCCTCCTCTCTACCCACAAGCAGCTCAGACACACCCGAGAAAGTGACACCTCCTGTCTCTGCCTGGGGCATTTGTAAGATTCTGCCTCTCCTCTGACATTCCACATCCTCTCCCTTTCCTCTGTTTTCTATAGTTTCTGGCCACTTGTCATTTCCTGTGCTTTAGCTCTGGCATCCCTCTGGCTCTTATTTAAGTTCTTCTCAAGATGTTTTGTCTTAGCTTGCTTCTCTCAGCTGTAGCACTGAGGAAATGTGACCTGCCAGCCTGGCTACCAAAGCTCTTACTGGAGGGTGGGATTGGGGTGGAAAGGGAGGTGTGAGTGAAGGGCCTTGTAGTTGACATCCCCCATCCTTCATGCTCACTGTGATGTTCAGATTGGGCCTCCATGCAGCAAGGTGTGCCTTGGCTTCAGGGGACCCTGGCATGAGAGTTAGGAGATACCAAGATCTGTGCAGAAGCTGTTCCCATGTAGTCCCTTGGTGAATGGTACCGGCTCTCCAGTCTCCTCAAAGAGCAGGCCCTCATTGTCACCATGCCTCTGGAGGCAATGCCTCTGGCTAACCCAGACCCAGCATGTCAAGTCAAGCACTGCTGGGCCTAGAGTTTCACAGAGGGCCTCCTGGCCAGGAGTGAGGTCATCCAGGGGGCGGTTGTGCCAACTTCCAAGGCACACCTTTCAGTGGCATGTGATCTGGTTCTCCTCATGGTAGTTTTGAAATCTTGTGGTTTCCTGTTTTGATGAGTGGTTTTGTACATATAATCAGTGAAACTGTCCTCACAAATTACATGGATCCCCTATTTTGTTTAGAAGCTGTAAGATGTTTTTCCAACCTTTTAAGTATATTCTTTTTTTTCTGTCTTCTTTAGACCCAGGTAAACCACCACAGTACTGCTAGTAATGAAACCTACCAGGAACGCCTGGCACGGCTAGAAGGAGATAAGGAGTCCCTCATATTGCAGGTGGGTACTTTTTTTTTTTTTGGTGAGAATCACCTTATCCTGTTACCTCCTACTGTGTAGCTTCTCTTAAGTGGGAGGGAAGCACAAGGGATTTTCTCTTGGAATTTTTCTGCTTCCAAAGCGTATGTTTTTAGAAAAGACTTTTCCTGAAATAAAGAAGTAAGTAATTCTAGACCTGACTTTGAGGGGCTGTGAATTCAGTCATTCATTTATCATGCAGTACCAAGCACCTGCCTGTATACACTGGAAGCCCCATGACCAGGCTGATTTCCAGGTGCTAAGAATGAACAAAATGGGCCCTGTCCCCCAGAAGCTCCCGAGTCTTGTGAGGTAGGGGAGATATATCTTCGTGCCCCTAATAAGACAGAGCTGTGGGTGATACAGGCCTAAAGGTGAATGCTAATGAATCAAGTCCAAATTTTCTGAAGCTGGATCTAGACTGATCCTTTTGATAGTAAATCCCCTGGAGCTGGTAATAGGGGCTAAGCCTTTGATAGCTCTCTTGCTTGAAAGAGAGGAACTCCAACACCTTTAATGGAAAAAGATAGTCAAAGGGGCTTTCTCACTTTTGAAAGTTTGTGTGCCTTGTAGCCCATAGAATTAGGTATTCCCGTAAGAACGCTGTTGAAGAAGCAGGCCTAGCTCTTTGCTATGTTAGCTTTTGAAAGTATAAATTGATTTAGCAAGCATTTGCTCAAGGTCTGGTATGCATCAGATATTAATTGGTGATTTGGAAAATATAAAGGCCAGTATCCTAATCCCAGCTCCTTAAAGCTTAAAGGGTGATGAGTTAGACTGGTGGTAGAATGGAGGGAGGGGCTGGGGGGACTTGTACCCTACCTAAGCTATGGACTTCAGCTTGGAGCACTAGGGTTATGAGGTGGCAGTGTGTTTATTTTTTCTCTTTTTACCTTATTTATTTTATTCTTTCATTGTATTTTATGAACATAAGGGTAATGAATGATTTTAGGAACTTTTAAAATGCTAAAAATTTGAAGAATCAGGTTAACGTTTTGGCCTTTTTTCCAGTGTTGTTTTTTTTTTCCTTTTGCCTGTATTCTAAATAACTGAGCTCATACTAAATATATGGTTTTACATTCCAGTTTTGTATTTTTCTTCATTGATTTATTCATTATAAAATAATTGAGTATATACAACTTGTGAGATTCTGGTTTTTGATGCTGGGATGCAGCACTGAAAGAGGCAGACTCAGTTCCCATTCTGTGGATCTTCCATTTGAGAGAGTGGGCCGGGCGCGGTGGCTCATGCCTATAATCCCAACACTCTGGGAGGCCGATGGGGGTGAGTCACCTGAGGTTAGGAGTTGTAGACCAGCCTGGCCAACATGGTGAATCCCCATTTCTACTAAAAATACAAAAATTAGCCAGGCTTGGTGGCAGGTACCTGTAATGCCAGCACTTTGGAAGTCCAAGGCAGGTGAATCACAAGGTCAGGAGTTTGAGATCAGCCTGACCAACATGTTGAAACCCCATCTCTACTAAAAATATGAAAGTTAGCTGGGTGTGGTGGCAGGCGCCTGTAATCCCAGCTACTCAGGAGGCTGAGTCAGGAGAATTGATTGAACCCAGGAGGCAGAGGTTGCAGTGAGCTGAGATCGTACCACTGCACTCCAGCCTGGGAGACAGAGTGAGGCTCCGTCTCAAAAAAAAAAAAAAAACAGAGTGTGTATTGACAATAAGCCAATATGTAAACTATTTCAGATGATGATAAGAACTATGGAAAAAAGTAAAGCAAGATGAGGACTGTGTAGTAAAAGGAAGATCTCCTTTACAGGAGGAAGCTGGGGAGGGAGCCATGCAGATACCTGGAGAAGTGCACTCCAGGCAGAGCAGTTGGTCATTCCAGCCCACACACTGAGGCAAGAGTGTGCTTGGTGTGTGGGAAGAACAGCAAAGGGCTATTGTACCTGGAGTCTGTGCCCAAAAGGGTGGTGGGAGCCGCCTTTAGAGAGGTCGCAGGGGTCAGATTGAATAGCACATTGTAGCACAGATGTTTGAGGGATGTGTAATTTGAAACTCTTATCCCAATGACATGATTAGTGAAAGAGTATCTAATGTGAGATTTTGCAGTAAACAGTATGAAATTGCAAACTTCTGAACCAGGACCCTTCATGATTGAAATAGCACATTCCTATTTAGAGAGGATTACAATTTAATTTTTAAAAGTCCTGTGTTAATAATGCTTCCTTTCACATTCATAGTTTTCTAAAATTCCGAATTCTTGAATAATCCCTATTTAAATAATCTTAACACAATTGGGAAGCTGCTTACCAGTAAAGTCAGAAGTTGACCCTAGTGGTTTCTACTCTACTGGGAGCTTATGGGCAGACTCCAGGAGTGTCTGTTATGTGATCACTCCTGTTCTGCAGTGGCCCAGTGGAGCTGGTTAGACAGATTCTCAGCAGGGTAGAGGCTCTTGCTTAATGCACACACAAGCTCAGCCAGACTGACTTAATTTGGAGCCCTTGGCCCAGAAAGTTTTCCTGGTTCTACTCGTAAAACGAGACAAATCACACGTAACAAAATACTCTGTTTTTAGGATTAGTTAAAAAGAAACCCCAAATCTCTTATATCTTCATTGTAATGAAAATCCTTAAAGATTTTCGTCCTGTTTCTTTTTTTTAACGTCTGTATCCCTCAATACCTAGAACTATGCCTAGCATCTAGTAGGGTCTCAAAAATAGTTGTTTTTAGTGAACAAAGGTCATGTTTAGGACCTTTATGTATTTTGTCCAGATTTTCTACATCCCTTCATTCATAATACTTAGAATCAGCATTGATGTTCTGAAGTCTTCTGGAGCTGAACAATTAGCTATAGAATGCTAGAGATCCTGTGATTCCTTGGGTATCGCCAACACATAGCCTCAGGCATGGTATAGACCATAGAAATGTCTAATCCTCATAATAAGATTAACGAGAAAACATCCTTCACAGACAGAAACTCTGGATTCCAGCGAGGAAAGCCCACCCCCAGAGTACTACCTTTTTGAAAGTGGTGTTAGTTCAGGATGGCTGAGTGCTGGGCCACAGGGAGTAATAAATACACACCCACCTACAAAGGTTTTAAACCACTTTTTTGGTTAAAAGTGGAATGTTAACCCTGTGTCGACTCCAGGAATATGTTTCAATAATTCATTCATCATTTGGGAACGTAAAAATGGAGAGCTTAAAGTAGGCATATTAATTTAGATTAGTTCCTTTTTAAACAGGAGCTTTATAATTCAGAAAATTTATTTAAACACTCATAAATGAACTCACGTCAACTCATGCTCCATCTATCTTTATGTTACAGGCTGAGAAATAATTCTGGATAATATATATGCAAATGACAATGACTCTGATGAAAAAGTCTAAAGGATCTCAATTTACCAACTGCTAATTTCTTCACTTTTGGGAGGACACTCATTCTCTTTCTTCTTGCTTTGAACCATCTCTTAATAAAGAAAAAGGATACTGGGGCAGTTTGCTAATAGAGAAGGCTATGAAAGCCATTGCTAGTATACAGTTAGGGCATAATTTGAATGACTTCCTGTAAATGAGTTTTTACTAATTCATATTTTCAATAGAGATTCTCAGCGTTCTTTAGAAAGATGACTTTTTTTCTGCCACCATATGTGTAATGTGGCTCCTCTGTATTTATGACTTAGAGTCATGTTTTGGCCTGTGAAGCACAAAACCCTTTCTGGAGCCAAGTTTTGTCAGTGCTAATACATGCCCTTTACAGCCCACATTCATTAATTGCATCAAAACACTCGCCTGATAGGTGAGCAGTCCTCACACCCTTATGAGAGAGGTAAGGTCATTGGTTCGTTTTCATGAAGTTTGGAAAGCTCTTCCACATGAGGTTGCAGAAGTCCTGGCAAGCCTGCTGAGATGTGCCTTCAGGTCGGGGCTGTTCAGTAAGAGGAATAAGGAGCACGAGTCCAGCCCAGAGGCAGATTCTGTGGCTGTTGGGTGTTTTTCTCTTGAGTCTGTCAAGAGGAGTAAACGTGACCCATGTCATCAGAGCAGTGGCCGAGACTCCCTTGTAAGGTAAGAATCTAACCGGAGCTGCCTTCGTTCAGGACACTTCCTCTACCTGCCACTCAGCCAAAGGCAAAACTCTTTCCTCTGTATAAGAGTCAGTGGTGAGGTTTCACAGCTCCCCTGCGGTGGGGAGGCTTTCCTGCCCCATGTCAAGTCCCTGCTCCTCTGCCATTGCTTTATTTCCTGGAACAGGTGAGTGTCCTCACAGACCAAGTGGAAGCCCAGGGAGAGAAGATTCGAGACCTGGAAGTGTGTCTGGAAGGACACCAGGTGAAACTCAATGCTGCTGAAGAGATGCTTCAACAGGTAAGGACAGGTGTGCTGAAGGCCCTGGGTTCTGAAGCAGCTCATGTGCCGAAGCCCCTTTCTGTGCCTAGGCTACAGCTCTCGCTGCCTGCTTTCCCATCCTACCTGGAGGCGGGATTGGCTGCTCAGTGTATAGTGTTTGTACAGCAGGTGAAACCAACCTGAACGTTGAGAGTAGCAGAGGGGGTAGGGAAAGGAAGGGCTGCCCCGAGACGAATAACCTGCTGAGCTGGTTAGACAGATTCCCAGCTAGCACTTCCTCCAGACCTGGTGCAGTGAGGAAGACCTCAGTTGGGGGACTCACCCTCATCCTGCGGTGTCATCTGGAGTTTTAGAAAGTCAATTCTCAGTTGTGCCCCTTTCCCATCTTGCTCTGCCTCTTCCTACTCTATATAGTTTTTAAATAAAAATTATTACATAAATAACATTTTAATATAATTCAGTAGCTATCAAAATGGAAAAAATATTTAACTGTTTCCTACCATTCAAATATAGTCTTCTCTTTCTTTCCTTTTTGTCCGTGTTATGCGTGCATGTACTTTCCAAGTCTGTAGTCACATCAAATATGCAATTTACTTCTCTGATCTTGTATGCTTAATATCATATAATTTTTTCCATTTTACATTTTTGCTGTATTGTCATCTTTATTATCACTGATAATAGATTTTCTTAGTAAAAGTATCAGAGTTGACTTAACTGTTTTTCGATTCCTGAGTACTTTTTCTGTATTATAAGTAATGAACTACAATTTTTTAGGAAGGGGTGTTGAATTTTTATTAAAACTCTTTTCAGAATTTGTTCAGAAGCTAATTAAGTTTGTAAATGAAATCTATTAATATATCTAATTTTAAATTTTCCTTAATTCATATCATTCTTGTGTTTTAAGTTATCTTGAAAATTAAACAACTGAAGCTTGTGTGTGTCTGCCTTATAACTCCTGGCTTAGTACTTAGCACATAAAAGATGCTCACAATTACTTAAAGATCAAAAGTTTGTTCCTTAAAATGAGTGGATTCAATTAGGTGACTGCTTATAATACCAAAAGCACTAGCATTTTTTTTTTTTTTTTGTCATGATCAGCATAAGACTCAGATTGTTTCTTGACAGCATACTGGTGAATACAGGCTTTGAATTTTACCTTTGGTCTCATAATAAACATCTTAATTCTGGTGTTTGTTAGTTTTGTTTGAGTGCCTTTGAAGGTCTTTAAAAACATGTAAGTCACTGTTTTTATGTATATATCTTCATAAAAACCAGTTCCAATGGCTCAGGAACTTTTGTTAGTTTCTTATCTTTTCATTGCTGATTAATAAGTTACCACATTCTTGGCTCCATTTGATATTCTACTTAGATTATGTGCCATTTCTCTTGTTCATGGTATTCCCTAAAAATCTGGCTAGCAAGAGGAATTGAGTCTTTTTTAAAAAATTGAATCTTTCTTTTGAAGACCCAGGAAAGAAAATAGCCTGATAGAAGAAAATCTCAAATGATGAAAGTATTTTCACAAAGAGTGCAAAAAACAACCTACTAGATTATGTTTTCAGGTCTGCTCAAGGTGTGGTTTTCAGATGAGAAAGATAAGGGAGAAAGATGATTGAATGGTGTAAACAATCCAGAAAGACACCAAGAACATTTGAATATGGAAGGGAACAAGTCAGAAGGTTGATGTTTCAGGAAGGTGATGCTGGGAGAGTAACCACATAATCAGAGGTCAGAGAATAGCTGCATTGTAGTAGCTGAGTTGTCTGACTGCCCGTGCTGGCTTCTCTGAGCCTGCTCTACATAGCTTTCTATGGCAGTGTTTCTGCTCCATTGTCAAAGTCTCTGTGTCAAGGAGTCTGATTGTGATGCCCAGCACCACTTGGAGAGAGGCTGTCTAGTTCCTCTAAGCATTCCCATGGATGGCGTTTTAGACTTTTTAAAAAGTCTTAAGCTCAGTTACCTTTTTTATCCTGTTTATTCTAAATCCTCTTTCTTGTGTGCTATGAGTTTGGTATTGGGCGTGTGGTACCATGCGCCACAGAGGTAGATGTCTTAACCTGACATATATTGGAGTATGGTAGCCACTATCGAGTTTCAAAGATTCCTGAATTTGACTAAGTTTTTTTTCTGCTCATAAGCTTTCATTGCGTTCCCTCAAACTGCCAAGGGTAAAATGATAGCAGTATGCAGTGCTCCTTTCTTAACAAATTGAGTTCAAGCCATAGGACACATCTGAGCCTCATCTCCCACCCACGTGTTCACTGGGCTGGGTGGCACCAGAGCTTGAGATGTTTTGAGTTCCCAAATCTAAATCCAGAGTTGAATGTTTGGCCGAACATGCTGTTGCTTTCCTGAAGTCTGTTTGTTGCTGTTTGTGAAGACACTTAATTCTTGCACCACAGCGCTGATGCAATGATATCTCTGGCTTGGACTATGTATGCATTTTCTGAGCTGAGAACAGGCAAACACTTGCCCAATCTGACTGAGATATCCTGGCTGCAGGGCCCTTGGCTTCTGGTGGTAGGAGCAAGAATGACTGACTCATGGCCTAGAGGCAGAGAATGGAGGCAAACAATTGACTCTTTCTGCCAGCCTCAGAAATCATTCTGGCCCAGAGCCAAGGTGAGCCTGCTGCTCAAAGGCTCTGAAGAAAATCCTTTCACTGTCTCAGCATGCAGCTTCTAGCTGCCTATAGATAAGGTGCATCTTCTGGGTTTGCTCCTCCTGATAACCCTGCATTCTGAAGACATCCTGTCTGAAGGCAGCAGCTGCTGTTCTACTCCACTTGACTGACCATTTAGGCATGGTGATGCTACATATTCTCATTTTTTACACGAGACTCAAAATCCAGATTTAATGAGTTAAAGATGTCTGCTTTAAAAATATTAGCAGCTAATTTAAGTTTTTAGAAATGCTCTGTGAATCATACCTATAGGTCAAGGCTGGCCCGCAGGCCTCCAATCTGCAACCTCTGCTCTAGACTTGGCCCCCGCAGGCTGGAATAACTCTAGGGGGATTTAGGAAAAGCCAAATCCAATGAGCATAGCCCAAACCTTATGATTACAAGGGCTCCAAGAACCCCATTGAGCTATCTCTCTCCATAGCTGTTCTAACCAATGTCAACCTCCCTCCAGAAGCACAAGAGGTGAGACGTTAATTCCCTACCCAGTTCATGAGCCACGTACCTGCTGTACCCCCAACCACAACATCCTTAGCCTGTCCCTGCACAGGGCTGGTCTCCCAGCTCCCATCTGTTTTTGTCCACACATGAACTCATCCAGCCTCCAGAAAGAGCATGAAGACCTCCCTTGGGGTTAGACAAGCAAACCAGAACCAACCAGAGTCAGCAAAGGGGCAGGTCCACATGAGCTTACCTAGATTATGAACACTTTTGAGGACAAAATAATGTTTCTATTTTGCAGCCCAGGGCAAGATGTGGGGTGGGAAGGGAACATGATAGCTATAAGCATCTCTCAGGACTGCTACAAGCATCTCATAGCTGTCTACATAGACATAGACATACCTTGTAGCTCTCAGGACTGCTTAGGGAAGCACCTACTCAAGGTGTGGTCTTAGACTCAATGAGCATGTCTGGATTACCCAAGAAACCTTTCCCATTAAGAAGAGCCATTTCTCAGACAGGTACTGTGGCTCACGCCTGTAATCCCAGCACTTTGGGAAGCAAGGCAGGAGGATCACCACCTGAGGTCAGGAGTTCAAGACCAGGCTAATCAACATGGTAAAACCCCATTTCTATTAAAAATACCAAATTAGCAAAGTGTAGTGTTGCATAACTGTAATCCCAGCTACTTACGAGGCTGAGGCAAGAAAATCACTTGAACCAGGGAGGCAGAGGTTGCAGTGAGCTGAGATCATGCCATTGCACTCCATCCTGGGCAATAAGAACAAAACTGGGGGAAAAAAAAAAAAAAAAAAAAAAAAACCATTTCTCAGAAGGATCTTTAGGGGAGGGACAGTCTGAGTTGGTTTTCACTGGGCTGGTATTGTCTGAGCCTGAAAATGGAACTCAGAGTGCTGGGCCCTGCCTCTCTGGTCCTTAAGTGGGTCAAGGCATTGCATTGCTCAGCCGCACACCAAGGCTATCAGAGACCAGGGCCCAGAATTGTCCCTAGGATTTGAGGCATGGACCAGCAATCTTCTCGTGACTGGCTCAAACTATGCTGGCAACAAAAATCTCTATATCATGGGAAAGGTTTCCCTGCTCTGTTATATACTTGAGGCCCATGGTGGCTTTTTGTAAAGTAGCCCCCGTGAGCTCTCTGGGGTCTAGTAGGTTCCTACACAATAAGCTCCTCTGCCTCTGATCACTGACCCTTCTCTAGAGGGTGATCTCCGGAAAGAAGCTGATGCTACTCAGTGGATAAGAGGTTTTACATGGAGCTAGTGGCCAAATAGAGCATTTTCCAGACTGGTCATTTACAGATATAATCAATGTGAACAGAAACAATGTCAATGTCAAAACAGAACACAGGGAAAGGGAACACTGTGGGGAGGAAGTAAGGGTGCAAACCTTGTGAAGACATAATCCTGCTTTTGGGAAACCTTGAACAACACCAGTCTCTCTATTTCCATCCTCCCTGTTGACCCAGAGCTTTAGGAGTTAGGCAACTTCATTGTTTTGGCTTTTAGTTGAGGTTGGGAAGTGACAAATAAAGGGGACTGAGAGTTCATGGATATGAGTTTCTGTAGATTTGCTATTTGCTGTTGATCTGGGAAAGTCAGTGTACCTGTTTTCTTACTAGTAGACAATGGGGATGACAATATGGCCTCTGTATTGCCCACCTCTTACTTCTCAGAGTTCTAGTAAAGTTTTTCCAGCGTTACTAAGCACAGGCTGGCATACAAATGGCCACTGTAAGTCAAGACACTGAGCAGAAGGTTGTGGGCCTGAGACACAGGTCTAGTAGCTGACTGATAAATTTCCCAGGAGAGCCTTTAAACAGGTATTTCTATCTCAAAGAAAATATTAAATGAGCTGTGTACTTGTTCTGGTGGGA